TTCCTCGTGTGTGGTGACCCCCAATTATAAAATTATTTTTATTGCTACATCAGAAGTACAATTTTGGCTCCGTTATGAACTGTTATGTATATACCCATATTTTTCAATGGTCTTAGGTGGTCCCTGTGAAAGGACCCCCCCCCCAGCACACACAAATACACAGGGTCACGACCCACAGGTTGAGAACAACTGCTCTCGGGGCTTCAGAGTTCTGTTCCAGAAGTATTTGTATACAACAGCTATAATTTTTCTAATAATGTATAATTCTAATACATCCATGAGCCCTGGTTTAATCAGTCCAATTAAAGACAAAGGTTCAAACGCTGAGCAGATATCCTAAAATATTAAAATATAATCTTGACCTTAATCACAGTGGTTATTCATATGATGACATCATATTCCAGAAGACCTAACAGGAGGCAGGCATAACCTCAAAAGGAAAAAAATAGAAAAGGTTTGGCTGTCAATGTATTGTCTTTGACTACATCATCCCTGATGCTATATTATATATTTAAACTTTTTTTCTTCTATGAAGTTTCATAGAGCATAAAATAAAGTCCTCAGAGCCTTAAAAAGATCAAATAATCAGAATCTGTTGAATAAATCCAAATTCATTCACTCATAATATTTTGTGGGATTCAAAAAATAAGTAAGATTTTTAAGATGAACAAAAGGATGCCTGCCTCCTTAAAAACAAAGCAAGTGTGTTCTAAACCAATTTATCCAAGACCCTCAATATGCTAATACTACAGTAGAATAAAAACAATATATTTGGAATCTGATGGAAGCATATAGCTACTGACCACGACCGAACTAACTTGGTGGTACCAACTCTTACTGCCAACCCATCATAAAGAAATGTAGCATACAATCAAAAGCATCACTGGCATCACCAAGCTTGTAGCAATGTTTCAGATTTGGGTTCCTTGACGACAGGCTAAAGAGTCAAGAGGGAAGAAAAGTAAGATACGCATCTTGACTTTATCTCCCCAGTAGATCAGGAGTGGTCGTCCACCAATGAAACGTGGAGAGTACACTGTTGATCTGCCTCCTGAAGGTAATAAATTCTATCAGGATTTAGATTAGAGGATGGGAGAAAAAATTAGGAGGCAGGAATCACCAAGTTAAGCTATAAACTAAACTTTGTTTGTTTCTCTGTGCAGCTCCGGCTGTTCCGGAATTCGCTGTGTAGACCAGCCTGGCCTCAAACTCAGAGATCCATCAGCCTCTGCTTTCTGAGTGCTGGGATTAAAAGGCATGTGCCACTACCACCACCCAGCCTTAAACTAAGCCTTCTTGAACCCATATCAATTTAAAGGAATCCAAATCCCTAATTTCTTATTTGTCACAAATACAAGTCACTCTTCTGTTTCATTAACTTTATGAAGTGACGGTGTTAGACTTGAAAATAGTTGTGTGTCAGTCTCTGGCCTGAAATGAACCTTAGACATAAGAGGAATGAATAAGGGTAGTCACAGCTGAAACTCAGCCACAAAATCTGTTTAATAGTAGGTATGGATGGGACATTTGGGGTCAGCGCTGGAGTTGGCTTAATTACAGTAGAGTTTTTGTGCACAGATCCAACAAATGAAAGACAGACTTGGACCAGGAGAAACTCAGAGAAATAGGGTTTAAATCTAGCATTCTCATAGAAGCCTATAATCCCATGCAGGCAGAACACTGGAAGTTCAAGACCTGCTTGTACTGACTGCAAAGGTAGCTTGAGGCCAGCCTGGGCTACATACTGCCCCCACAGGGGAACTATGTATCAAGCCAAGTAGCCTTAGGTAAGTTGCAACAGTATTACTGCCAAGAAACTGCAATGTGTGGAGAAAGGGGGTGGGGGGTGCACAAACTGTAACGGTCTAATGGCTGCATACAATTTTGTAACCTAGCACAGATGCTGACCACCAGGAACTGCCAACACTCCAGCTGTCATAACCAGAGACGAGAGTTTGATTTAGCAAAGGAATTGCACAGCCCACGGTGAAAGGCAGTTCCCCTCGAAAGAGCATCTTTGGAATCAGCAGCCACCTTCATTAATCACACAGGACGGTATGCGACAAACAGTTTCTATGCACTGTGAGTGCTCTTGAGTTGGATGATAACAGCAGGCTCTTTATACAAGAAGGAAAATCATACTGCATGGTGCAAAAAAGACCAGAAAAGTCATGTTCCTTTACTCCACTGAAAGATAACTCTAGAATCGGATTGCACGGGTGCATATTAGTAGTCTCAGCTAGGTAGGAAACTGAAAACAGAAGGGTCTCTTAAGGCCAGGAGTTAGAGGACTACCTGGACAACAAAGAAAAACTTGATGTCAAACACTGTGTCTTGGGGAGGAGGGTGAAATATGTTTTAATGGGGGAATAGTGAACAGTTATGCTTATAACTGTTCGATCATATTTACCATTTTATTAAAGTTCTATTTGCTTTAGGAATGTTTTAAAACAATGACTCTTGGCTAGGCTGAACATGATGGCACATGCCTGTAATCCCAACACCAGGGAAATAAGAAGAAGCAGGAAAAGAAGAGGTCATTCGGTCAGTGTCAGCTCCACAGTGAGACCCTGCTTCAAACAAACAAACAAATAAAAATGGTGGCCCAAGCTGGGAGGGAAAAAAAGAGCTATTATTAGCTATGACCCTTGGCTCTAATTCTCTGGACTTACTACTGCTGAATAAAAGTGACACAAGCCAGGCTTATGACCAGGTTCGAAGCAGACTGCCATCTGCTGCATGCATGGGATGTCCCCACTCAGCCCCAGTGTCTCGCCAGGTAGGATCCTTAGAAGAACATCGATTGTTTGGAGCAAGTTGTTGGTTCCATATTCACCTACTCTATGTGCCTCAAAATCAGATCCACCAAAAGATCCCTGTGGCTTTGAAATAGAAGGCTTTTCCTGGCAGACAATCAGTTAATTTTATAAGTGAATGATGGAGAGATATGTTAAGGCAACTATGGTTTATTATACAATAAAAAAAAAACACAAAAAGGAAGTCATAATATCTGGTCAGGACTAGGTTTACCAGCTGTGTACTCTTGGCCAAGTCTCCCTCCTTTCTGGGCCTCAATTTCAGGTTTGAAAGATCAAGAATCAAATCCCTAAGAGACATCCTTCAAATGGAACGTCATGCAAGGAATCACACAACGGCTTTGGTGCAACTGGACAGAAATTCAAAATCAGCATCTACATCTTCAAATCATCAGGTTCACCACCTTTCCAATCTTAGGATCCTAAGTTCATTTACAAGTCAGCATCCCCATGACAACATTTCTGCCCTTCAAAAATAACACTTCATTTTTAATTGTGCTTTCAGCTTAGGAATTCAGCACACCACTTTTACCCGCCTCAGAATAGCACAGAAGAACATTGTCATGAAGTGTCCCTACAAGGAAGACACTCACAGACTGGTGCATTTGCATGGGAGAAAATACACGAGGCACACATTTCTAAACACCACTTGAATACCACACCCAAACAGTATTAAAAACAAACTGCAAAAATTGGAAGATGCATCACTGGAAATCAAAGATAACTCGGGAAGTCTTCCCATAGTTCAGAGGGGAACAAATGCCATCAGATTTGGGGGTGGCCTTTATGTCTTTCAGAGAACATAACTGGAGGCTATGAAACATGCAAATCAGAATCGAACTATAGAAAAACTCGGCTCTTACCCAGATGCTTCGGCAAAGCAATGTCAGTATGCCAAATACGAAAAAGTGCAATTTTCTCACAAGAAGGATGATCGGGTCCGTAACTACGGCTAATAATAGCAATACTATCTTGCATTTGCCAAGCCTCGGGTCTTTTCCGAGTGTGTTCCCACGATCTCATGCTATCCTAGGTCTAGGGGTATCCTCTCTGCAAACCTCCAGTCCTTTCCTCTTCAGAGATGAGGAATCAGAACAAGACAAGTCATGATGCTCGGGCTGAAGGGTCTTTCTCTATTGGGCTGGCTACAGTGAGTCTCCCAGCGCCACAATATACGAGCTCACCCTATAAAATTAAACCTACACTTGTTCTCTCAGAGTTGGCCAGAGACCAAGACATATGGGCCTCGAAAGTCCAAAGGAAGAGAACCTGCTGACTTGTTAGGTGAAAAACTCCATGCCAAGCTCCCGTGCTCCCCACACTACACTACACACACACACACACACACACACACACACACACACACACACACACACAACCTAAGCTGTTCAGACAGAATTCCTTTGCCAGGCAATAAAACCTGAACCACCAAATCTCTGCTTCTGTGAACAATTTGCCATGCTCCCTCTCTTGTGCCTGCTGTCCTTCCTTTGGGCACGAGCGTAGTAGCGTGAAAGCCAACCCTCCGAAGGGACCACCAGAACCTTTAAGGACCCAAGGGGATGGTGCCTGTCTCCTGAAGCAATGCAGCATCCACCTTGAAGAAACTGGTTCCCGGAACACACACATGCAGAGACTCAGAGAGGGATAAAGTTTGATTTCCCTTCCTGCGCATTCCTAGGGGGCCGAGAGAGGGCGAGGCAGCAGCCTCCTGGGGTCCCGGGGTGCTCTCAGGGGGACAGTTCCTAGCAGCGTGGCACTGCCACTCTCCTGACACACCGGCAGCCGCGGCAACTCAGGACGCCCCGACCAGCCCAGCGGAGGAGAGAAGGGGACAACTCGCACTGGGCTCAGTTCGGGAGCACTGGAGCAAAGCTGTCAGCAACGACGGAGGGAGGGACCGAGCCCACAGGCGGGTCAGAGAGAGGTTCAAGTCCCGTGCCTTCCCCGCCCTGGCGTCCCCAGTCCTGCGGGAACATCCCTGCTGTCGCCCCTCCTCCTCTTCTGCCTCCCGCCCGCCCGCCCGCCCTGCCTTCCCAGCCGCCGCCGCAGGCGCTGAAGGACACGGCGGCTCGGTGGCCCGCCACCCCGGGGCGGCCGCGAGTTGAGGGAAGTCGCCGGGCGCCCCGGCCTGCCCGCGGCTCCCCACGCCGCCCCGCCCTCCCCGGAGCCGCGCTCGCTCACCGTCCGGTGCTGCTGGTGCTGCCGGTGACGGCTGACGGCCAGCCCGGGAAAGCAGCCGGCAGTCAGCGCCCCGCAGCCGCCGGCGCCCCCGCCGCCGCCCCGGGAGCAGAGCAGCAGCAGGAGCGATCTACCTGCGGCGGCCGCCATCTCTCAACTGGAAACGGCGCTGGCCCAGGCAGCGCAGCGGACGGCCGGGGCGTGGCCAAGACCCGCCACTCAGCCGCACCCGGCCAACTGCAGTCCTGAGTGAAGCCTCTGAGGCGGGGCTTTCTTCGAAGACCAATGAAAAAACGGGAGAACCCCGGCTTCGGGCTGTCTGTCACACCCAGAGTTACCTTACGGGCAAATTCTAGGGAACCGGTCTTTGGCACTCGAACCTCTTGGAATGGAGCAGTAAGGGGTGGCAAGTTCGATCTGGCTAATCTTTACCAAGTTTAGTGACATTGGGGACTAGGGAAATAGATATCTGTGCAAATCTTGTTCGGAGTTGAGTTCTGGGTGTTCTAAGTTGTCTACAGAAGAACTCAGTTGGTCATATGAAGTAGGTTGCTACAACTCTCGACCACATGTCCAAAGTTAGCGGCCATAACGGACAGGATAGCATTTGGGTATGACGAAACAAACCCCGAATCATAAAGTAACCCAATGACAGCGCTGTGTAACACAATATAAGGTTTAATGATTGTAGTAGCATCGAAGTTCCAGGATGAACACCTGCCATTGGGCGGAATGAACAGAACTCTAGACATTGGAAACACCCCGTTCTTTTTCACAGCACCTTCACAACATTGACATTCCTCTCTAAAAGCAACACTGTTCATCATCATAGTTGATCTTGGGCTCCTTTATTAAACAAACTACAAAAAAAAAAAAACAGAAAAAGTCGACAAGTAATAAAATCATTGTAAAGATGAGCCAAGTTTCATAACTTTGCTAAAATAGCAATTAGAGCACACTTCAGAATAACTTTCTTGGGGAGAGGGAGGTATTTCACTGGGTTGCCCAGACTGGCCTGCAATGATCCATGTAGCCCAGGATGACTTCAGACTCCCCTCGGATCTCACCATCCCCAGTGTGGGGAGTTGTAGGCATGTACCATCTCATCCAGAATATAATAACTTTTATTTTGTTGTTTCTTGTTCTGAGTTTTGTTCGGGATGAAGTCTCACTACATAACAGACTGGGCTGGAATTCCCAATCCTCCTGCCTCAGCCTCCTGAGTGTCATGATTACAGGCATGAACCATCATGCCTGTCTTGGGCTGATTCTCACTTTCTCTTGAAAACACTCCTTGCCACGGGGACAGTGGTTCTCAACTTGTGGGTCACCACCCCTTTGAGGGGTCAACCGACCCTTCCATGGGGGTTGCCTAAGGCAATCAGAAAACACAGATATTTGCATAATGATTCATAACGGTAGTAAATTTACAGTTATTAAGGAACAACGACAATAATTTTACGGTTGGGGGCCACCACAACATGAGGAACTATATTAAAGGGTTGCAGCATTAGGAAGGTTGAGAACCACTGCATAAGGAACAAGTTTGCAGGAAGGGTTCCTAGATTTTCTTAGAAGACTTCCTAGCTGTTTGTTATTATGAGCTGCTCCATTCTTTCAGCTTCTTATATAATCTTGGGGGCAAGGAGGCAATTAATTTTTTTAAATTCCAATAATTGTAGTTTGTGACATGCAGTTTTTAAAAAATGTATTACTTGTTCTTAATAATATTCTTTCAAGTTTGACTAAAATTGCTTTCTTGGCCAAACAACGAAGTAAAAATTCTGGGTTAATTCTTATGCATCCGCCGAGAACAGGAGGCTGGTGGGCTTCTCCACGGGAGGTCTTCATGCCGCTCACTTACCCAAAAGAGCTCTGGTTCTCAGCAAGTGGAGCCCGGGAATGTGCTCCAGCTCCACAGCTGCCTGGACTATCCCCCCCATTTGGAATTCATGGCATCGCTGGAACATCTCCACTCACAATCGCCTTCTGCCTGTCTATATTTATCCCAACAGCATTTCATGTAGTTCTCCATTCCGCACATCTCCCCTTCTTTCCCTTTTACTCCATTCACCACGGGTTTGAGGTTTTTTTTTTTCTTTTTACATTTTTCCTTTGCCAAACCTGGGTATAGCCCAAGTGTTCCCCCTCTATCTTTACATTATACTTTCGAAAACCTTACTGGAATTGCCTTTCCTCTGTTTTTCTGAGTATAGAAGTTAGGTGTCCATCCTGCAGTACTGAGACTTAGTTCTGTGCATTAAAAAAGGAACTGGATTAAGCCAGGCATGGTAGCACACACCTGTAATCACATACCTGGGGAAACTGAGGCAGGACGATTGTGAATATGAGGCCAACCTGGGCTACATAGAAGTTTTGGGAAAAGACAAAAACAAATAAAACAAAATGGGGGGGGGAGTCACACTATTTTTGTTTGTTTGTTGTTTTGTTTTTCAAGGCAGGGTTTCTTTTGTGTAAAAGTCTTGGCTGTCCTGGAACTCACTTTGTAGACCAGGCTGGCCTCAAACTCACAGAGATCTGCCTGCCTCTGCCTCCCAAATGCTAGGAATAAAGGCATGAGCCACCACCACCTGGCCACACTCTTTTTAATGTACAAATCAGAGACATTGCCAAGAGTTCCAAATCTATTTTTCAAAATGCATCATTTTATATCCTGGAAAATCAAATCCCCAATGCCCCTAAATCAGACTACATATTAGACGATCTACCGACTAAGCCAGGTTCATGGAGTATAGATCTAGCAATTGCTCTAAACAACTGTCACTTCCCACAGTGGCGAAGGTCTACATGAGCCAGCTGGTCAAGCTGACTAAGGAAAAAGTACAGTAGCTCATCAGAAAGGAGTCTGCATACCCAAAAGGGATCCTTCACGAACCAGCTGATCATTCTAGAGGTGATATATTAATAAAGAAGGGCACACACACTTTGTAAGAGGTAGAAGACAACCTCAATATTTTCCAATAAAGAATCAGTCATCTCAACAAAACATCAACCTCTTACAAAAGTAACTATCCATGAGCCAAGGACAGCGAGACACACCTGTTTCCCCGCACTTGGGAGGATGAGGATCACAAGTTCAACTGAGCTACTGAGTGAAAAACTGTCGAGGAAAAAAAAAAAAGGTATGATCATATTCCCATAATCCAACACTGGGGAAACTCAGGCAGGAAGACTGACAAGTTCAAGCCAGCCTGGACCACATAACCCTATCTCATTTATTTCAAATACAAAACAAACCACAAATGAAAAGAGTTGTCTTACCTGTACTTTCCCACTTTATCTTAGTCAAAAGACGAAGAAATCATGTGTTTATTCTTTACTAAAAGTGAGCTTGGCATAGTGGTACAAACCTATAATCACAGTGCTTGTGAAGTATAGACAGTAAGATCTAGAGTTCAAGGTTATCCTCAGCTATTTAGAGTTTGAGACCAGCCTGGGCTACATATGACCCTGTTTCAAATATATATATACCAAGTGGTGTAGTACATGCCTTTAATCCCAGCACTTGGGGGTGAGGGGCAGAGGCAGGCAGATCTCTGAGTTTGAGGCCAGCCTGGTCTACAGAGTAAGTTCCAGGACTGCCAGGGCTACACAGAGAAACAATGTTTCCAAAAATAGTAAGAATATAGCACTCCTCAGCCTTTTGACTTGGCTGAAATCATATATGAAATATAAAACTATAGATAATACAGTCTACATCATCGTTTTAAAAATCATATCTATAATATAGGAACCAGTGAAATGACTCCGCTGGCAAAGGTGCTTGTGGTACAAGCCTGAGAGCCTGAGCCTGGTCTGGAGCACATAAAAGGTGGAAAGAGAGAACTAACTCTCAAAAATTGTCGTACAACCTCCATTCATGCTCTGTGGCATGTACACAAGCACACACAAATAATAATAACAATAAATATGTAAAACGATTGTTTAAGCTACATATATAAGACTAAGTAAGCATGGTGGCACATGCCTTTAATAAAAGTACTTGAGAGGCAGAGGCAGGATGATCTCTCTGAGTTCAAGGCCAGCCTAGAACCTGTCCTGATTCCAAGCCGGCCAGGATGACATAGTAAGAACCTTAAAAAAATACACACATAATATAAATGTTTTATATATGTTATATTATTTATATATTATATGTAATATAATATACATTAGATTATATATAATTAATTATATGCTATATATTATATAATTTAGGTGGTGATTCCAAAGGAATAAACTTGAAAACATGTTGCCTCAGGGAAGTTTTGAGGGACACCTGCTCTTTTGAGTGGTTTAAATTGTTCCCATCCACATATCAATTTTATAATTTAAAAACATGGTCATTAAAGGATATACAGTCGCACAATTGTTCCTATGCCAACCCTTAAAAACAGGTCACTTTTTAAAGTTAAAACTAATCAGAGACTACTTCCTGGTGCATGAAACTTTACCCAATTTCCCTAGTAAAATGTACACTGAGGTCAGTTCCCAGCTCTGACTCAACTCAATGGAATATTTACCTAAGGGCTCCAGAACAGGCAGGGTGGACAGGTGAGGCACACACACTGATACGAGCAAGCAAACATGAAAGGAACTTCCTGGGACGTTTGGGGCTGTGTTTCCTGGCTCACTGATAATGTGAATTATTATTCGCGTGGTATCAGCAGTTCCGAATGAGCAGAAAAGAGGATATTTGAAAGAAGGACAAAAGGAAAGGGGTAGCTCTCAGATATTTATGGGGAGCCATTGCCAAGCCCTGTTTGCTCCTTATTTTTTTGCTTCCCTCTCTGAGAATGCCATCATTCCCGTTTCTCTCATCCACCCCATCAGAAGTCAGTTCTCCACCATCACAACCCAGTTCCTGCGAGCTTCTCCTGTCTGTGCTCTCTGCTCTTCTTTCCCTGGCAGCCCATCTACGTAGCAAATACATCTACTCGATGTAGTTGAGAAAGGTTCAGTAACAACTAAAACATCTCCTCTATTCGTCTATATACAAGTATCCTCATTCATGTTTCTCAATATCCAAGAGGCCAGCAGCAAATTTTAAAGCCGTCTTTCTGGGTTGGGTTGGTTCGTGGCCTCTTGCATCCTTTGTGATTTACTAGACTTTGAAACTAACAAGTCTTTTGTCTCTATCTGGAGTGATCCAAGTTCTTAATTTTGTACTCAA